AATCGATCTTTTGTTCAGCAGACATCGCTTCCTCCTCTTCGAATACTTCCGCGATATCGTCATTGACGGCCATCAGCTTCTTCTTCGCGCATTCCAACGAGTTCAGAACAATCTTTTCCTGCGAGATGTACGTTTCCTCGTTGTGAAAAGGATTCTCCAGATTAATTTCCAGCATGGAGATCCTCGTTGGCGTGGGTGTCGGTGTCTTTGGCACGTCCAGAGCACTTTCATCGGGCACAGTAATCGTCAAGCTCTTCGAATTGATGGAATTCGACAGATTGTCCAATTCATTTCTCTTCACTTCGTCGTTGATCGAATGCTTTTTATCTTCTTTGGATAGAAGATCGTTCGTCGTTTGTCGCTCCATTTCTGCCTTTGTCAGACCATTACCGATTAAATTTCGTGACACTGGAATAGGTTTCTCGTTTTCAGTTTCGACTCTCTCCAGCTTCTTTTTGACTTGCTCCTCCTCGAGCTCTTTGGCTTTGACCTCTTCGTTTCTTTCTATGCTTCGATTCTGTTTATAACTTTCTTCCTTCTCTTCCTTCAGTTTCCTCCAGTCAGTCTTTTCTTCGTTCCTTTCGTCGTGCACGGCTTGGAAACCGTTGGAAACTGAATTCACAGTATTTTCCTTCGACGAGAAGTCGTCCGACCAATTCGAGTACTCCAGATCATTCTCGAACTCCCTTTTCCCGGGAGATCGTGGCACAACGTTGTTTATGGCTTCCATCAACTCCTTCTCGATCTCCTCGTCCGACTGTGCCGACGAGCATTCGGACAAATCGGACGTGTCTTCCGCGTCTTTGTCGCCGATCAGGGCTTTGAAATCGGCGCTGGGGTTAGGCACCAACATGGCCACGGGGTCAGCCTGGGTTTGAACTCTCTTCTTTTGGAACAGCCAGTTCTCTTCCCAAGACTCGATCGGCGAGACTAAACCTATGTGCGTCCTTGGCGTGTCAGGCTCATCCTGACTGTCCGATTCCTGAGAGGCTGTGGTTAACAAAAATTTCAGCTTCACCGAGCTTCTCAACTCGTTTCCGTACTGCACCGAACGATCACTCTTTTTTTCCTTTTTTTGTTTTGCTCATCGTCCACGCCAGGTTTTTGTATAGATACGTAATTTGAAATGAATTACTGTTCGATTTGGACTAGACTAAAATACAACTGATCAGGAACAAACCAACGGCGACACTCTTTCTACACCATCAGCAAAAAATATTGCACACTCCGAGAGAATTTTATTCGTCATCTAAATTCTGAAGGGGATAGGAGGAGGGGGGATGACCGTAGAACGTTTCAACAACAATTACACAAGCGATGGAACTAGGTAAATGACACGTGGATAAGCGGTACTCACGATCGATAATGTCCATCCCGAGTTCAGGAAACGGAACCCGATGGGCGTTCTTAATGGGCAAGACATCGTTTTCCCTGTGATCCTCGTCGGATGCATAAGTCGTCGTCACCTCCTCTATCCGCTCTTCTATCTGGAACGTTCGGAAATGCGTTAATAAATCGTGGCCAACGACGTCGATGAACACGGTTTATAAATTCTCGTGTCTTTTCATTTTTCCCTTTCTTCCTTGTCGAGCGTCTATTTCAAAGTAGGGCACACGGTTCCGTTGCTTATCGACCACAAATTACAAACAGAATCTACGAATCTACGTCGTCGTAAAAATTGCACGGAACGCTTCGTTTTCAAACGCTGTTCTTCATATATCGCGTACTAGATTTAAAATTTAAATGTCGTTCAATATTAATTTAGTATTGATATTAATGTTATTATAGATCGTTCGAACATGTTGGGTTGATCTTTATTGAGTCATGCAAATTGAAAGATGGTTGAAGTTGTGCGACTTCGAGTGAGTTACAGCATCCATTTCCGCGGAACAGTTTTCGCGTTTCTTTCGCAATGTTCCGCCAAGGTTAGAAGCGACGTTCGCCATAAAAGGATCGCCTACCGTGAGAGATAATGGCTCCGGTTGGTTTCTAACGCGTCTCGAGCAAGACGCACTGCAGTCGCTGCTGCAATCGTCCTGAGACAGCGGTTCCAAGCTGCTGCAGCCTTCCTCGACACCTTCGTCGAGGCCTGCCTCGCTCTCGCCTGAAACACAAACTATGAATGGCGACTCTCTTCCCTGCATTTCCTTCACATCATTGTTAATCCTTTAATTGCCGAGCTAACTTACTCAAACGACGATAAAAAAGACACCGGAGGATAGGATTTTCACATTTAAATCGACGATCGAATAAACGATCGATCACGCGCGTTTTAAATCTACTTTGAAAGTGCATCACTTTCAACGTTCCACGACGAGTTAACTCGTCGTACACGGCAAGGGGTTCAAAAACTAGCGAAGTCGATATTACGAAGGTGTCGAGTTACTTCGACGAATCAATCCGATCATTTTTTTCACTCGTTTCTTTTGCAGTTGGTTCTCAACATACTTAGCGCACACTTAGTAGACACCGGTTTCCCTGGGAGAACGTTGCTATTGCCGTCCACCTGTTCCTTTTGGAATTTCTCGATGACCTAGAAAATTCAACGTTCGCTCATCGATTTATCCTCTCTCGCTCGTTCCACGAATTCCGTGTATCGGAGTCCAAGTCTCTCTCTCTCTCTCTCTCTCTCTCTCTCTCT